ACTACTTATAAAGTAATAGTTAAATAGAATAATTAAATTAAACTCTGGAATAATACCTATAAGTATATATTAACTATAAATAAGATAATTAGATATAACTACTACTAATAGTATAGATTGCTTATAATAGTTCAGTATAAAAATCTACCTAGTTAATACCTATATATATAAATTATAATTATAAGCTATAATTCCAGAATTAACCAGAACTTAATAAACTAAATATACTAGCTACTATACTTATAAAGGAAATATTATACTTATTATATATAGAAATAAAAATAGAACTTAAATTTATCTAATAGAGAATAAAAAAATACTATAATAAAAATAGATTAGAAGGATTAATCTTAGAGAAGGGAGATAAGGTCTATCTACTCTGTAAAAATATTATAATAATAAGACTAAGTAATAAATTAAACTATAAAAAACTTAGACTATTTAAAGTTCTTAAGAAAAAATCAGATACTAACTATAAACTCTTATTACTAGATATAATATATATCTATCTAACTTTTTATATCTTATTACTTAAAAAAGTATTAAAGGATATACTAGACTAAGATTATCTAATTAAAGTCTATAAAGAAGAATTTAAATTAGAAAAAATTCTAAAAAAGAAAGTTAGAAATAGATAAACCTTTTACTTAGTAAAATAGAAAGAATATACTAATAATAATAATACTTAGAAACCTATTAAGTATTTAAAGAATTATTAGAAGCTTATTTAGTAATATTACTAGGATTAGAAATATCTATCCTAATAAACTAAGAAGGAGATAGTTCTATACTCTTCTGAAAAAATACCAGATTAATCTTAATCTCTAAAAATACAGGCTCAGATAAAGATATAGCTAGAGATAAAGTCTGTTTTTAGACTACCTTCTCTACCTTCTTTTACTTAATATACTCTAGTTCCTCTATACTATTAATACTATAAGATACTACCTATATTATCTTATCTAACTATAATTTCTTTTATTAATAAAGATATTAGATTTTTATATCTATATAATAATACTCCTCCTCTATAGCCTCCAGCTTAAACTCCAGTTTATTATACTGATTAGTAATATACCTTAGCTGATCTAGTATAAGGCCCTGAGTATTATAATATAGCTAATTATTTTTAATATAGTAAAAATAATAAGATAAAGAACTCTCTAATCTGAAGTATTTATAACTATAGGATTTATAATAGCTATACTCTAATTATATTACTAAAGGATTTAGTAAGATAGTATTAATAAGAGTATTATACTAAAGGGTCTTCTTATAAGAAGTTTTCTATATACAGTTAGATATTATTATAGATTATAAGGGGAATATAGGATTAAATTAAAAAAGACTTACTAATAGGCTATAGAATATAGTCTTAAGGATATAATTAATAGAGAGGGGACTTTATATTATAAATTATATTATTATATATTAAAGTTATATAGACTATTCTACTTTTTTCTAACTAATTACTAGTAGATTATTAAGATCTTATAATAATCCTAATAATCCAGGATAATAGATTATTACTAAGCCTTAATAATCCCCTAGTATATATATATATTTA